ATACTTGTAAAGGTATTGTCTGCACAGGAATATAAACGTTTTGGACATTTAAGCATATAATAGCGGTCGTGTGCGATTTCGAATAAATTGATTGTAAATTGAGGGAAATAGTAAATTATGTCGGAATGGCAGTAAATGTTGGTATTTACCAGAATTTCGAGTAGGGTAAATTAAGTATTATCATTTTGAAAATTTTATAAGAGGTTTAATACCATAAATAAATTAAATAATTTGAAAACTTTTGACAAAAAAATAATTACTTTTTATATCTTTCTTTCTTTATATTATGAATATTTATGTTTTTAAATATTAGCATCACATTTATTTAATGATAAATACAAATATTTGGCACAAAATTGTTAGTTACTTGATTTCAAAAAGCTAATTGTGAAAATTTATGCTATTGACCCGGCAAGGTTATTTATTATGTATATTTTTGACTCTTATTAAATTTAACTTATTCAATTTTATGATAAGTAATGAAAATGAATCTTAGCAATGTCGCAAAAATGGAAGCAGAAAGAAAGATGTAAGTATTTTATTTATTGACTACAGATTTAACAATACGTTTATAAAATAATTTTTTTTATTTAAAGGGAGCAAAGAGATGGTGGATGCATTCATTGCAGCGCGCATACGGCTAGACAATGTGTTCACTCAGAAACAAACAAATTCCCGAGAATGCTAGAAGTAAGTAATTGAAACGGACACTAAATAAATGTTTTTAACAAAATATTTATTTTATAGGCTAGTTGGTCAGCAATGCGGTGCAAATGATGACTGGAAAGGCTCAAGCAACTTTGGAGTAATTTAATAAAGAAATACAAAGTAAATTAAAAACCTTTTTAATCTATTAGAATATTAATATCTGATTTTTTTAGCAACTTGAAAATCCACCAACGGGTAGTGGCAATAATGGCGCTGACAACGCAATAAATTGGCCATTTTATGGTCAACTTCATGAATATTGCAGTGAGCGCCATATATCAATCCACCACTCCTAATAAACAGCGAAGAGCATAATCCGGACCCACTTGCCACGAATGTAGCATCTACATCAGAAATCACATCGCCAACAAATTCCCAGTATTCCAGTACTCCATTCAGCCGGAGTACATCTAGACAGTCACTCCTGGATTCGGTATAGCGAACAGAGAAGGAGCTGAGGTAGACGGCACGAGTCTTTACTAATTTTATTTCAACTTCATTGCAAGTTGAATACCTACTATCTGATTCTGAGTAAGGGAGCGTCTGTGCACATCAGCTTCTTTTCTGTTTATAATTACCATCCTGTACTGTAAATTTTCAATATTCAATATAAATATAAACAATATTTCATTTTATAAAAATTTAATTTATTTTATGAATGAAATAAAAACATGAAATAAAGAAAACTTTTATTTAAAATTGTACTTATTATAGATGAATTATATGTGTACCACCTATGGTAAGTAATGCATGACTAATAATTGTTGTTCCGGCTCTTTGGTTAAATTTGAAACAAATGCCTTCAATGCGAAATACAAATCAATTAGATCATGTGGTGACACTCTTACAAACAGATGGACAATCTATAGTATTTATCAGGCCTATTCTGAATACTCCCAGGGAACAAAACTCCCTATTCCCACGCTGTTCCCGAACACACAGCTCCCTTATTCTGAATTGCCTGGGAGACAGCAGTTCTGAGAACAACAACAGTTTCAAATTTGTTTTGTTAAATTTTGGCAACTATGCCACTTTTTAATAACGAAAAGTGAGAAAATGAGCAAAACAAAGAAAAGAATTGCGTATCATATGTTGATTTAAATGTTAAAATCGCATTATTTGTTTGCTGCACAAATTATTAGAAATAAATATAAATAATTTTATAAGTGATTAATAAAAAACTTTTATTTTAATGAGAAAAATAAACATATAAAAAGAATTGTGCAGTTGTTGGTGTTCATTTATATAAAAAATTTTCAAAAACTTTAAAAATGCATTCCATTGCATTTAGAATATTAGCGGAGGATTTGGCTCAAGAACATGAGCAAGAAATTTTGAAACAGAGGATCAATCGTAGAAACTTGAGAGACGCTGCAAATCCACTTGAGCTGCCTAATTTCTTGTAAGTACAAATGTAAATTTAATTTGGTTTTAAAATAAACTTTTTTTCATTATAGATTTCAAAAATATTACAGAGTAAATAAACCAGCATTTATTTACCTGTTAGAGGAACTTACGGAGGAACTACAACCAGCAAAGAAGCAGTTTGCAGTTGCTCCAATTGTGAAATTGAGCGGTTGTTTGCATTTCTTTGCTGAAGGAGCTTATCAGACATCAGACATTAAATATCACATTAAAATATATTCAAAAAATTTATTATTATTGGTTACTTATATGTTAAATTTAACTCTTTTCTAAATTTTTAACTAATTAAAGAAAAACCTTACGTTATGATATCAATTCTTCAATGTCTTTATTTTCAAACATTCACTGCTTTTATATAAAATTTGCGTAAATTATAATTTACTTTTTTTATATAATTAGGATAGAAATGTCCTTCATGCTTCAATTAATGAACTAATAATAGTTTATACCTGTGCAGATCTTACAATAAAAAAGAAGCAATGTTTTACCTGTACATAATGCAGTTTATTTTAACTTATTCTAGGAATCCATTTATTTCAGAATTTGGTTTCCTTTCATTTTTCTATTGTTTTAAAAACAATAGTTAACACTTTAATTAGTGGAAAAAACCCGTGTGAATAAAATAAATAAATAAAAATTTAAATATTTCAAATTTGTTATACTTTTATTAAAATAATAATTTTAATAAAATATATTAAATGAAAATTTTGTTATATTAAATTTATTAAAATATATTCGGAAAACTAATCAAAAAATATAACTTTGAAAATATTAAATTTATTGTAATAATTTATTATAATAATAATTTTATTAAAATATATTCAAAAATCTGATCATTTTCAGTTACTTTTATATTAAGTTAAATTATTTTTAATACTTTTTTAACTTGTGTCCCCAACAATTTGGTAGGGAGAGAATTTGTGCAAAATTAGGAAAAAAACTCCCATTCCCATGCGATTCAGAATAGGAGAATTGGGAACAGGGAACAAAACTCCCATTCCCAATTTATTCAGAATAGGAGAATTGGGAACAGGGAACAAACTCCCATTCCCATGCGATTCAGAATAGGCCTGTATATACATTATTAACTATTTGAAAAGCGATTGGGTTGTGTTTGTTCGGTTTCATATTAGTACGATTAAGTACAATATGGAAATTTACATTATGTTATTTAAAGGCGTTTCAAACTATTCTATTTTCAACAGTGCGATATAGATTCCAGCAACAACTTGATAAATTTATATAACTATAATTAGCTTACTATCGAAGAAATTCAAATAAATACTTATTAATGAATGAATATAGTCTACATTCATGATCAACTAGGTCACGTCACTATAAATATTGCCGCTTCAACATAGGATCTAAAAGATTCATGAATTTATACTTCAAATCGAATTCTATCTTTTCATTTTTATCAAAGGATACGCAATTTTGTGCATCGAGATCACGATTACGATGACTCTACTATAACTGTATTTGCAATGTTAGAACCACACGTTACGATTCTGATCAATATAATGTCCATCTATTTTCTTGTCCTCAAATCAGAAATGTTTTGAAAACAGTGAATGATATAGTTTATTTAGAATTTTAATCACACAACTCTTGTGTCTGTCTATTCACGTTTTAACCTATTATTTTTGTAACTATTTCATCGCCATATTATTTTCAAACTTCACCCACGTTGCGAGTATTGTTGTAAATCTGAAAAATTACTTTTAACCTACTTTGTAATCTTATAATATTAGATTAATAATCATAAAATAATAGAAAGTAAAATATCATAGAAAATATGTTAAGAAATGTAATTTTTCTCTTAAATGATTTATTTTATACAGTCTATAAAAATTAAAAAGAATTCATCGTATTCAATAATCTATTTAATTTACTAACAATGCTGTTCAATTTAAAATCTGTTTAAAAATAATTAAGTAGATTAATTACTCAGATTTAATTGAAGCTGATAACAATGTCATTCAAAACATAAAACTAAAATATAAATACATACTATATATGCCCAGTTTGCATATAAAACTATATATTCAATATAATTTTTTAATTATTTATATAATATAATATTTTACATATATATTGCTTTAAAAACAAGAAAAAAATGTATTTTTTATGCGAAACATAAATAATTAATATTATCCGTATATCTTTAAAATTTTATCTTTATATATACTTTCTTAATATATTAGGAATAAAATATTTCCAATTTCTATGTTATATACACGATTTTTCAATATCCTACAATAGAATTTTATATATAAATTCATGTAAAGGAGTTTTAGTTACAAAAATATATTAAATATGACCTAAAAATTATATATATTATTATATGCTATTTAATTGTTTGGAATTAAACAAGCGATTCTTAATAAAATAACTGTCATCCTATATAGTCATATAAATTCAGTACAATATATAGTTATATTTATATTTTTAAACAGAGATTTTTAAAAACATATTAAAGCATAACATAAAAAAAATAATTCGTTAATTAATTAATATTAAATACAAATTAAATATAATTTTTCAGTTAATGCAAAAATTTTAAATATTTCAACTAGGACTATTAATATAAAATAAATCTACATAAGTAACGTTATATTCAATATCTATATAAATGTTGTATAATAACTAGATTTTGTTATAACAATTTTAACGTGATATATAATTATGCATGTAACTCTGTATACAAAAAAATATATGTATATAAATATATATATATTTAAAAAAGATTTTTTATTTCATAATTTAAAAAACGTTAACAGTTCATAAAAAATAAATTTTTTTTAATATTTCTTAATTTGATTTTTTTCTTTAGAGGAGTATATAAAATATATATGTATATTAAAAGTTTTATATATAAAAATGAGATAAATATATATCATAATTCAAGTTTGAGAAATGCGCTCATTCCACAACAGATCTTGATGAAGAAAGCTATATTATGTAACTTTAGCTATTTGTCAATAAAGCTTAGTTTTTGTGATATTGGCCATCTTCAAAAATTTGTTGTGAAATCACCGTACTCGGGAAATCGGAATAGTACTAAATATATTTTAAAAGTATTTTGTACAACGTAATTTAATGATTACACTTCTAAATACTTTCCGACATTGTTTCAATTTCTAGAAAATAAGCCGGTTCCTCTTTTATTATAAAATCATCATGTCAGACATCTTCAATTAATTGATCAAGGAGTATTGAAGGTGAAGTGTTTTCATTTACCAATGTGGACAGCTCCGATGCGTTATAGCCCAATAATAATTTTAAGTCACAGTCAAACTTATAAGCAAACCGTTTTCCGTTCACTTTTGATATCATATCACCATCATAATAATAACGCAGAGCACGTGACAGTTTTTCATAATTCATAGCAGGTTTATTTTTGCGTTCGCCCCATAACCGTGCTACACGTTCCGGGTCGATAAGTTTAAATTCACCTTCAGTTCCAACCCATTGTATAATGTTGGTATGTTCACGATCAGTTAATATATCCAATAAAAATTGCCAGAGTTGCACTTGTCCATTATTGCCGGAGCCAATACCACAGCTAGCAATAACAGCGTTGGTTTGCAAAGTTGGATTGTTTATTTGGTCTGTATCTGTAATTGGTTTCTAATTATATTAAGATGCACATCAACATCAAAGCTCTTTAATAACAAATCGTTTTCGATACTATCGAATCAAAGTAACAGTATACAAACTGCATCTATCTCCTAGCTAGAGAATCAATAGAAGTACTTACTAAGACCAACAAATAAGAATTTGAAAATTTACTAAATTTCAGTAAAAGAATTTACATCGGTCTATGAAAGTCAAGCTCTAACTTTAAAATGGGAGCACAATAGTCTTTAGAAATTGGAAATGCTGCGCACGGCTAGAACCATATTGTTTCTTATTTATTAACTATTCTATACTATCTAAGCAAATATAATATAAGCCAATTGTGGATAAAAAATTAAAACTTATTTTGACCAAATGCGAATGAATTTTAACTTACTTATTGTTTTGGGTTGAGTAAATGTTGAAGATTTTCGCATAATTTTCAGCTCCTTAAGACCGTTTGGATTGCTGTTCGTTTCGTCCTTTGCAATTTTTGCCAGCGGATGTACTACTGAGACAAATTTACATTCTTTTAATAATTGTATATGCGTCCAAAAAATATTGCCAGGATCTTTCGGTATTTTAGTACAAAATTCTTCATGTGTTAAGTTGCATAGCTCTTTACCTTCTAACATCCAGTCAGACATCTTAAAACCGCACTAAATGCAGTGTTTTAAAATATAATTAATGATATATATAATGTTAATATTTATGTGTATTAAATTTCTAACCAAGTTGAACTGACGGACAGCCCATTGAAACCAATGCTTCACTTGTTGTACATTCCATAAAAATGGATTCTCTGGTATTTTAAGACGCACTTGTTCTTTTTTGAATTTTAAATCTAACACCCAATTAAGACACGGTTGTTCGAGTGCGTTATCGGTTGGCTTATCTTTTTCCTCTTGAGAATCATCATCAGATTTATATTTATCTGCTCTTGATTCATGATTTTCTTCTTCCTTTCCGTTTATTTCAGCTACACATAAAAATTCGTTGTGTAAAGAAACATTTTTTACGAAATAAGTTAATATAAATCTTATAAAAAAACATTAGACATACCTAATGCCGCCTCTGTTGGTTTCAGTACATCAACAATGTTAATTCGTTGTGTTATAGTTTGTATTTGGACATTGATTTGTACTAAACCTTCACCTTTGACGCATTGATCAACAAGGTTTTTATGTGGCTCCAACTAATGTAAAAACTATGAATTAAAAAAGTAAGTTTGAATAGAAATTTACACACCTCCTGTGCATCTTGTAACATGAAACTGTAATCGCTTAAATCGTGTCCAATTTTCTGTCCCACCAATTGTCTAGAAACAAATACAATATTTGGATTATAAAATTATTGACAAATATATGTATGCTCTCAGAGTACCTTAACGTACTTAATGGCTCTCGTATGTCCATGTGCACTATTATAATATCGTCTGCCTCGCCATCGATTGCTCCTTCCGATTGAAACATGTTATCTGAATGAATAAAATATATTTTAATTATAAATTGTTTCTATATAACACTTTAAAATATTTTACCGTAGCCCGTCGTAAAATTTGTGGTTTCGAAATTATCAAATTTTGTGTCCATGCCGTTTACGCCTATAAATTTTACTTACAATATTCGCCTTTCTTAATACGAATTATCAGTAAAGTTCTTTAATATAATAATTATATTTTGTGAAACATAACTTTGATTTATTTTTATGAATGAATTTATGAAAGCATTTAATTACTGCTCAGACAAAATAAGTCCCAACAAATGTCAAACATATGTATGAGTGGCCACACACAGGGTTGCCAACAGTCTGTATTTTGTTGCAGACTTTTTTGAAAAATAATATTTGGAATATACTAATAACATATTATGGTGTATTAAAATTATTATTATTAAAATATTCAAAATTAAATTTTAAGAATTTCTTATTTATAATAAAGTTTATTTGATTAATATTCATATATTATATTAATGAAATAATAAAACGAAAAGTTTTTAATTTTGCAACAATTAAGTAGAGGAAGTTGGCAATAATATTCTTCGACCAAATCTATCAACCAAAGATGGTAAAGAAAAGAAACTGAGAGTAATTCGAAAAATTGTGTATAAAATTTTCTAAATTGTTCACATAATATTCAAAAGTTTGTGTAATGAGGTGAAAATATCAAGCAGTACAAAAGTAGAAACCCTAATGCTACACAGTGGTGCGTGATGATTTTCCCCATTATTATTAATTAAAAACAATACAATTTATTGTTGTAGAAAAAAGTAAATACATAAATCTCATAATATATTAGAAATTAAGATTTGTGCCAAAGTAGTATATACACTAAGGTCCAAGGCAAGGCAAGAGACTGGCAAATCGTTTAAGGAGTTGAGAGCAATAGCACAAAATATAAACCAGTGAAAAACTTTTTTAGACTCTTTAAACTCCTAATGGAGTATGGAAATAATAATAATAATAATATAATAATAATAAGATATTTGCAGAGTTGCACAGAAAAATAATCACTATTTCTATGGATACTAAAAATTAATCTTGACCAAAACGAAATTAACTTTAGCATAGGAAATCTATGATTAAACAACTAGATTAGTTCTTTAATCTCGATGATTGCTTTAATATACTTTTAGTCTCACAATTTAAACGCAGTAAAGAACTATATTCATATATTAAAACGGCTTTAATTATATTCATATTACAATCAAACACATATAATATAGTAGTCATGATTAATTTCACATAATGGAAGTGCTGTTATAGGACACAATCAATCTCTATATGACTGCATAATTCCCAGTTTCTTCTTGATTCTTGATTCTTCTTCTTGAGTTAGTGCTATTACGCACTTTTACTATATAATGGCTGTGGGTGCTTATCTCTACCCCACACTAGGCTTTAACTAGGCTAAGAAATCATATCAGTTTGTTCATGATGAAATTTTCAAATGACTACCTACGCGTTTAGAAAAATACAACATCTCGACGATAGTTGAATTTGACAGAAAACACTATATTGATTCGATTACCCCAGCTTGGTGTTATGTGCACAATATAAAACAATTTTTCGTAAATTTGGCGCATTTAACGCTCTGGAAATGTGGGTCCGATTCTCAGATTGGGTCCTAAATTGTCAAGTATATTATACAAATTGTTAGCTAATTCATAAGTCTATGTCAAAATGTCTAAATGACTAAGTTTTTATATAAATGTAGTAACTGAAAAAATTATTTTATGTAGATGAATGATACCCCTGAAGGCACTACACAGATAATTGAGAAGTAGTGCTGGATAAATAAAGTATTGTAAATACTTTGGGAGCAAAGAATTTACAGAGCAATTTTTTTTTTGAGTTGCACATTCTTCTAATTATATGGTAGTATGTTACTAGAATCATTCACAACTTTTTTATACTTTCCGTATTTATATACGAGTTATCTGCTATCTTCGCAACAAGTCTTTATCTAAACAAAAGCGACATTTAAGTAGTAAAAACTGGCGTCAACTTTACAACTTAAACAGTGAAGTACATAAACTTAGCTAATTGTTTAGATTGTTTCGATTAATAAGAAAAAAGTTTTATCTAAAAGTAGACATCTATTTGAATACAAAACACACTTAAAAAAATTATGAATAGATAAACATACTTGCATCTATTAAAGAATAAATTATTGTAGATGAAAATTTTGCGAAGTATTTTACAACAATAAACTTAGTTTAGAATACTTGTAGTCAAAAAGTAATAAAGGACTTATGAACTTAGGAAAACCGCCATAGATATGTGCTGGACACCACTAAAGAAAGTATTACTGACATCGCTTATTATTCTTATAACTAGAACATCAATTATTATAAAGTGAGTATAATTTCTGTTTGAATATGTACAGTACAGAGATGTGTTAGTGTGTCCTCCACTAAAGCAATTTGCCAAATAAAATGGTTGGTAAGACAGAGTACTGTGTTGTTGTCCGTCTTAACCTACCGTAATCATGTAGATATTTGGATTCCATGGTACCAGATTTCACTTTTGGGAGGATGTCTCATTAGGATGCACAAACAGTACAAAGTGATGTCAGGCATGCCTTACCTCGAGAATATTCTAACCTCTATCTATAATATGATGGATTTAAAACAAAATAATCTTAAAAGGTTGATGCATTCTATGTAATAAAATGGAAGTCATCATTTGATAATTTTTTTGAAATACGAATGATTTTAAATGTAGAGAATGCATAAAAATCGTTTTATTAATAAACTTAATAATTTAATACTGTTATTAATATCATGTATATACTAGTACACAAATTAAGGTACTGATTTTATGTATATAATCAGCTATGAAGCTTTAAATTTTGTGTTTTGTACCATTTGTGGAGATATCGTTTTTATTTCGTTTTTAATCATATTTATTCACAGTAGCACCATTTATAAAAAAAAATAAAACAAAAACAGCTGAGGGTCAGTTGCACCAAATCACCCTATTTCGATAGTGGTACTGCTATCGCTAAGATTGTCTTATTAAGAGAAGCTATCAGTTTTCTGATATTTTCTTTAGAAAGCGCCTATATGTAGTTATGTAGCTGTATCTACATATGGATGAGTAAATTATTAATCTGTGGTAGTAAATTTTCTACCTTTTAAGTTATATTACATCACTGGGTCCCGTTTTTATTTCGATTTTGCTGATAGATTTCTATTTTCTTCTGAAAACATGTGTTGACCATATAGACAATTTATGTATGTATGTTAATAGGAGTCTTTGAGAAAAATGTTTACATGACATCTAAAAATTTTATATATAATATAAGGTTGTTATATATAATATAAGGCTACATTAATTTCATAATTCAAGTTTGAGATAAAAAGTATTGCTAGTAACATGGATTTTGAGATGCAACGAGTAATATTTATAGACAGTACTAATAAGTGTGCAGATAACTAATAATTTACCTAAAATGCATATTAATTGCTACCATTGTTCTTATTGTATTAGAATAAGTTATTAGAATAAGCATTAAATAATTAAAATTTTTATAAGTGTAATTTTTGATTAAGGAAACAATTACTGAGTTTGTTATAAGATAAAATAAAACTTGAAAGTGTTTTTGTTAACAACTATAGTAATGGAAAATATTATGAAAGATAAGGAAAAGTGCGACAATTTGCTTTACAAAGGTAATTATCTCATCTATTGACACAATTTTAAGGTACACATGAGTGATTCTTTTTAAAGACAGACCCAGTTTTCAGTTACTACCATTAGACGATCGATGACATAATTGGCAAATATTGGCTTAATACATGCAAGCCATTTGCGATGATTGTTTGCTGAAATCAGCATTTCAACACGGCTGATAACGTCATGTCTTCGCTGAGGCTTGAGTAAACTGAACTGAGTTTCTCAGAAAGTTTACATACAAACTAAGTGGATTCTGCCTCGATTACTCATACTGTAAACATTCTGTCAGTAAGTTAGCATGTATAGATAATTTTAACCACAAAAAAGTGTTTTTTCTTATGTTGTCATTGCAGTTAAAATTAAATTTGAGCTCAGATCTGTCTTAGAACTGAGTAACAGTAAATAAATTTTTTTCGATTTTTTAATTAATTCCGTGAATTTTTCTTTAATTTTTTTATTTTTGTATAATCAATAAGTTTTTTCTTTTTTTTCAGGGCAGTTTTTTTTAATGAGCTCAGAGAAATTATTCATTAAAGTCGAAATGATTTTGTGATTGTTAAAATAACACCCACAAAAAATTTTATAATGAACCTAATTTCTTAATTTGTTAACTTAGTCATTTTAGTATCAGCTAAAATTTTCTAGAAACATTTTATTATAAATCATTATAATTGATGACACGTACTTAAACGAATTCACATGAATGAAATTGAAATCACTGTTCCTCCGAAATTTGTATTATTTTTTTTTTGTATTTAGCTTTCTTAATGTAAATTAAATGAAAATAGATACAAATTAACTTAAACTTACTTGGCCATTACAGCCATATGACGGTTTTTGCTGCGTTTTACGTACTTCACCTGACGTATCTACGTTTCAGGTACTCACATCAGGTGAAAATATTAAGTTGAGACAGGCTTAATATTTTCACCTTAAAGGAGGAGAAAGCCACCATCAACTATTTCCTCCTAATGTCACAATTTTGAAAGCCCATAAGTCTTTGTCTTTGCTTTATTAAGAACAAATTAAGGACGATACTAATATCGGGGTACAGCCAATACAGCTTGTCGTTCGATCGAAAACGATATTCGCCATTAATGCAACTAAGACAAAAGTTTTGTGCAAAACTCCTAAGCATTGTTTATGATTAATAAATTCTAATAAATTAATAAATTCTCCTCTAATAAATTAGGTAGGATGAGTGACTTGTACAAAGTTATTTTTATTTGTCGTTAGAGGATTCAGATGCTTAATTGCCAGCTGAACCCATAGTCAGATCTTATGGCAAGAGTTATTCTTTGTTGGATCTCTATGATGAAATCAAGTAGAGTGTTAATGCTAGTTAGAATATAAACAAACTAATAAACTGTCTTACAATTTTAAAATAATAGTTATCAAAAGAGACGTGGTGTTCAAATTGCTGGGACGCTATTTGACGATGAAAGGCATTTTATTTTGTTCCTCTTTTGAAGCTCAAATATTGCTTTATACTATTTTTTGCGAATTTCTTAACTAACACTTTTTAGATAAGATTAAAACGAGAAGATTAAGAGGAATTTAAAATGGG